TTACGGCGAAAACATTTTGTCCTTTTCAATGAAAAGTGGTCATATAATAAAACTCTTATCAACCGAGCTTGGTCAGTCTGTACGGGATAATCTTGACCTCGGTCGGGTACAGACCTCGCTGCGCTCGGTCTGTTCATTCCGACCTCGGTCAAGATTATCCCGTACAGACCTCCCGCTCGGTYAATAAGATCTAAATATTAATTATGACTTTTTATTTATTAGAAGTATAAATATTATTAATCATTTTATCATATTCTTGAAATTTGCTGTGAACCATAAATACTCACATAACATTTCACCTTTTTACATGTTTTTTCCTTACCTGACTTGTTCATTCAAAGCCATCAGCTTTGTTTCACTTCTCTTGGATATTTCCTGCATCAGCAATTTCTCTCCTTGGTCAATTGCAGCTCTGAGTTCTCTATAGTACCGCCTAGCAACATCCTTAGCMACGATAGTTCCCTGCTTCACATCTTCAATCGTTCTTTGAACTTCACCRCGAGCTTTGATGTATTTGTCTCCATGCTCGTCTACAGCTGCTTGAAGTTGTTCTAATATCCTTCTTTCACGTTCTTCTGCTTCGTGTACTTCAAAGCAACTGTGCCCCACGTGCGAACCGTACATCTGACAGAATCCACAGCACAATGCATTACAGCTACGGCAGTAGAACTTCAGTTTTTCCTTGTGCTCAGGGCATTCTGAAAAACAATTTGCTCGTCAAATACATTTSAAGAGGTGTATTTGGAACAACCTTTTGGGGACGACTTGTTAGTGTTAAGTGTTAGTCGTTTTGTTATCGTTATGATCTATGTATGGTGAGTATTATGGATATAAATTGTTGATGTTGTTCGTGATTACCGTGCTGCMAAACTACACGCGTGCACGATGAAAAGAAGAAGCTGGAGAATAAACGCAATGAGAATGCGTGAAGAGGAAGTAAAGAAATGATCTGCGTGTCAGTAAAAGAGTTCCATCAATACAAGCCATGAAAAGAACCATTGAGTGCTAAAGGGCTTTACTACTATCCTCACACGAGGAAAAAAGGTTAAAAAATAACCCTATTTAACGTCGGTAGTTCCTCCAGAGAGAGAGGCATTTGCCCCCATTGTTCCTCCTCATTGTGTCACCTATATCAGTGATAGGGCAAATAGCACTAAGGAAAGAATAATTATACGGAACAGAAATGGAAGAAAGTGCAATTATTGAGTTATCAGTTTAGGAAGACACTTGGCGGCCGGTTGCCGAAAACCAGAAAACTCACTGCAAAGAAAAGTGAAAACGACTGATTCAAATCCATGTAAAGTGTTAAYATAAGAAAAKAATTATGCAAAKAAATATTGACATGCCACGAGATTGSATTGCTAYCTAATGAAGAAATGTACTGACAGATCTTTGCCACCAACTTAAAGTTACAATTATAAGAATATTAAGACATAAGATCTTTTGAAAAGGTAGAGTGGTTTAGAAAAACAAGTGTGGTATTGAAGATTTAGAAAATGAATTCATGCAATGCAATTTGGAAAAACTTGTAGACATGTTGAAAGCTTATCTTTCATTTTGTGATTAGAAACCAGTGATGGGAAAATGTGGTCGATGATTACAGCACAACGCGCAAAAGTATTACCACATTTAATGTAATCGCATACTTCTATGCACGGGCTTTTGTATGTTAAACCGACACATTTCGATGAGAAGCTGGCTGGTTTTACCAAAAAAGGTGTGTAAGATCTTGTTTGGTAGCCAAAAGCCTGTGCATAGAAGTATGCAAATACATTAAATGTGGACATACTTTTGCGCTTTGCGCTGTAAATATATGTAGATAAATGTATGAATAAAGAATACAATGCGAGGGTGTTGTGTGTGGATGGGTAGGATAATGACGTAGTGGATCTGTATCTGTAGACTGAGATGAGGTGACGTAATGTGTGTAATCAAGTATATAATGCGAGGGTGTTGTGTATGGATGAGTACGATAATGATGTAGTGAATGTTTAAGTATTTGTAAACTGAGTTGAGGTGACGTAATGTGTGTAATCAAGTATATAATGCGAGGAGTTTGTGCATTATGGCTAGGATAATATATGACGTGGTGGATGTTTACGTATCTGTAAACTGAGATGAGGTGTCGTTSGTCGTGACGTCGATGGATATGTTCGCCCTCACCTGGGACAAGACTAGGTTTTAAACAATCTGAATAAAGAATAATAAAACATTTCTTTTTGTTACTTGAATATTAAAGACMTGACTAAGCCAGGAAATACGTTTCCAGAAACTTTTTTTCTGGAAATGTTTCTTTGATGTTTCCCAGTTTAGACACGTGGGCAAAAAACCTTGCTACTCGCGACGACACGAGTGAAAAACGTCTGCGCATGCTCTAAATGCGTATGCAAATTARTCAAAACTTCTTCAWGCTATCCTAAAAATATGTAAATTTGACTTTCAAACATGCCTCATAAATTGGACTTCACAAAATACCAAAACYTAGYGTCCATKCTTGAAACTTAAGGCTATTTCTTTTACATACTTTTTTTCAATACAGTATTTTGGTCYCACAAAAGTATACTCGCGAACTTTGACAAAAAGCAACATTTATTTTCTAACTCAAACTCTTCCAAATTCTTCTTCTTTGTGCTGACATTCACGCATGCGCAAACCTCTTTCTATAGTATCACTCGCGACAAATTTTGCTTCAAAGAATCAAAAAATATGTTTCGGCAGTACTTCGAAAACAATTCACGTTTCCAATGTGTTTTCCCAAATGTTTCTTGACAGTAACCAGGGCTTAGACACAATTCTACAAATACCTGCCGACGTAAAACTTTAGGTAGTACAAACGTTTCTTTCATTAGTCATTCCGAGGTTAAKGAAAAAACTGTGTCGAGTTGGCATTGCAGTGCATTGTGGGGCTGTTTCATGGGTCATAATTCCAAGATGGCATCTATATACTCCCCTAAACCCCCACCCCATAAAAAATGCACTGCAATGCAAAWTCGAGCCAGTTGATTCTCAAAACTCGGCGAATGTCATTTGAATTATTTTAGTATATGGTACATTGCTGTTTTGTGACGTCATAGCCGCCATGTTGGTTGACTTAAACAAAATATTTCTCATTCAGGTTTTGCTTGTCGCATCAGCCAACATGGACATCACGAATCACTAGAAAGTAAGGACATCGTAAACTGGATTTTAGATTTTGTGGTGGTGGTTAAAGGGATCGCAAGGAATAGCAACTGCTTGACTACATTTTAATTGCAAATGCTAGTCCCTTTTCAAATTCGGTAAATACCGCCGTGTTGTATCGCAAGACTCAATTGTACCAGGTCTAGCCTCGTTTAAGAGCAACGTAATTGCAAAAGTCTGCAAAAACTTACAAATTTCTCGCGCGCTGATTGGTTATTTTTAGATAAAGCTGACGTCAACGATCGCGCGCTCTTTCCGTTGGTTCTTTTGATCGCTAAAAATGAGAAGTTTTTTTCGTTTTTGTTAGTTGTAAAAAAATCAAATASACATCAGTTTTTTATGTGTCTGTCCTCTTATGGACGATAAATTGCGTTATCACATTGTCAAAGTAGTACTGCGTATCCACACTACTTTTGACGATGTGATAACGCAATTCATCGTCAATAAGAGGACAGACACATAAAAAACTGATGTCTATTTGTTAAGTGTAATGTAAAGAATGTGCAAGTTGAATAATATTCCACGGATCCGGGCTTTTAATGGTATCTCTGATTAWCCATGATTCTTATGGTATCTTCACTGAAAAACAGCGGTTTGCATCGAATACGAAACAGGTGTAATTTGGACGTTTTAGAACAGATTCGTCTTGCCTGACAAACGCCGTGTTCAGCAGGGACAAAATTGATAGATATCGGTTAAGCCAATCGTCACAGTGCGTGTTAATACTTAATTTATCCAATCAGAATTGTCAGATACAGAACCATCACGGGGACACGACTGAAAAACGTCTGCGCATGCTCTGAACCAGTATGCAAATTAGTCAAAACATAAGTAAATTTGACTTTCAAACATGCCTGATAAATTGGACTTCACAAAATGCCAAAACTTAGTGTCCATGCTTGAAACTTAAGGCTTATCCTTTCATATTGTGTTTGTTAATACATTATCTTGGAGAAAACAAACATTTMTTTTCTCACTCACTTCAAAATTCTTAGAAAACGCATGCGCACACAGGTACAGCAATACAGTCATACTAATACCGCTAGTTTCATCTGTTTATCGTAAAATAAAATCTGCTCAGTTGCATTAGGGAAAGTTCATTTAATATGCCGAGAGGAGGGGGGATAAGACTTCTCCTCAAAAACCTTATTTTTYACAGCCCCCCTCCCCCCTCCGTAGGAATTAACCTAATTTTCGAAGCCCCCTTATTGAATTTGTGTCGGTTACAGAGAATCGAAGAGATGGCGTCACTGAATATACATACGAAGATCATGGAAAATTTAGTGGGAACTAAAATGTTGTACACGGAAAGCACGGGTAGGGCGTGCTGGTAATGCATCGCCTCTCACCAGTGGAATCCGGGTTTAACCCAGCCTCAGTATCATATATTGATATTATATACTGTTGTTTTTTTTTTTAAAGCTAACTTTTATAAAGCTTCTGCCTTACAGAATTTTCAATTTTGAGACTATCTTTCAACAAACCTGGAAGAAGCCCGTAGTCCAATAGAGAGCTTGACGGCCGCTTTTGAATCTGCTGGTTGGATGTTCGCCCCTCACTCAGACTTGAAGAAGATGGTCTCTTATCTTTTGAAGGGCTCTCTTGTGTATTGCGATCCTGTGCGCTGGCGAGACAGATGCTGTGYGATCTGAAGTCCATCTGAGAATGTATCTCGTCAGAACAGCTACCACAGGAATAAACAGAGCATTCAGTACAAAAGAATCTGGCTGACTTTGGTGGGTAGACCTTGGTAGCACAAAAATTACACGTTTGTTCTTGTTCTTTTTCATCTTCGAAGACAGCCGAGAGAATGTCGAGGTTTTTAGTAAGACCTTCGATGCCTTCATTTGTCAGTAGAGTTCGTAACTTGCACGTTGGACATTCTATTACATCGCCTTGCAAATCTCTTAYTTTTGTAACACATTCTGGAAAGACAAACAATACAGAAAACAAAGAAAGAATTAGTATCGTAAACAATTGTGAAACACTTAGAGCATTAAACGGTTATTGTATGAGTGGGAAATGATACGGCAAAAAGACCCCTTGCATGTGACGTCAAAGCAGCTCAATTTTGWGGACAAAACAAAAGAATTTCAATCTCATGAGAATAGTCCCTTTCACAGTTCCCTGCGCCATCTTGAAAGGTAGCCGTGCCTTTGCATCGAAGCAAGACGAACGGTGAGCTTGCAATGATAGAGACATGTGAATAATTGTCCAAGGTGTTAAAAAAAGGTCTCTATCACTGCAAGCTCACCCTTCGTCTCGCTTCGATCCAAAGGCATGGGCAGGGAACTGTGAATGGGACTATTGGAAACCTATATTATGTACTCCAAATYGAGCTGTATTTCAGCGTACTGCAAGGGGTCAATGAGTAGCCGTACTGTGTCTACCGTAGCCGTAGCTACACGCTGTGATTGGATGAATGACTGGAAGACAATGGGAAGCCACTTCAATGTTACGGGATGTCATACCGTGTACGTGTGGTAAGTCAGTACCTTTATGTTCCCACTCATACGAAAACAGCTCTTAAACAAGTACTTTTAGTATTGATACTATAAGAAACAAACCAACAAACAAACACACATTCAACTGACAGACTGACAGATGAAAGACAGACAGACAGACAGA